TATATATATATATATATATATATATATATATATATATATATATACTACGTAAGTAAGTACGTAGTCGTAGTCTCTCTCTCTCTCTCTCTCTCTCTCTCTATATATATATATATATATATATATATATATATATCCAGAAAAAAGAGTAAAAAGAAAACCCAACAGCGAGCTGAAACTTTAGACAGAAACCAACTATTCATTTGATATCAACACAAAAAAGATAACATCAAAATCATTGTCTAGTAACCAAAAGTTTTATGCCAAATTTATTATGCTAATTGAAGAGAGATATTGGGAAAGGCTAAAATCAAATGTAGTTTTCCACCATACCTCAACCTATCTTAGTAGAATCCTAGAATTTTGATACTTGAATTTACGATTTTATTAAAAAAGGAAATATGACCTCTAACCCCCCCCTCCCCATAATTTCCATCCCTATTAGACCCTTGGCTTCACCAAAATCCCTCGTACTCCCTCAATTTTAAAACTTTGGGACCGTTAGCCCCCCAAACCATCCAATAGTCAACTCCCTTCCCTTTCTCTTCCGTTGCCCAAAACCAATCTTACCTTTGTGGACCCCCCTCTACAAATTTAGACTTAAAAAGAAAATGAATTTTTCTTTAAAATTATGACGTATTTAACAATTGCATCAATATCTTTCGAAATTGCAAAATAGTTAATCAAAACCATTATTACTATTGTGAATGGATTATTTGTTGGGGTTATGTGGCCATTTAAAGGCATTATGAGAGCATGTACATAAATTATAGTGGCATGATAACTCCAGTGCGAGTGTGATCCACATTGGACTATGAGGGATTGCTAATGCCAAGACTCACCTAAGCTTTGACTGGCTATGGCTCAATGTGAGATCTAAAACCCCGTAGCCCTGGGCACTGTGAGCACAACCGATAAGGGTTTCAATGTGGGGTTACATCTTGATCAGATCAGAGTTGTGCCCAGGGCAGTTGACCAGGGAAACTGAATATGACCCATGTTTGTGATGGTTGGCATGAGAGTACAAGGGCCTAAATCCTCATCATTACATCAGATGACATGTACACTAGATAGCCGTCCGAGAAGCGGCCTTTTTTGATAAGGGTGTGTTTTGTGTACATTTGCTAAAGAGATGACTCCCTACAATACTGGACTGTGTTGGAAGGACCCATGGAACATAGTGCTAATATGGGGCCTAGACTTGTCCTCAGGGAGGGACTTGTAAGCTATGGACTAGGATCGTGTCTCCTTCATTTAATTTGCTAACTTTGATAGTCCAATCATGAATGCCTTTGAAGGGTTGTGGGCATGAGAATTATTGGGTCAGTTTGAGAAGGTGCAGTGAGATACGGTCTCTAGAAGGATGGAGTCCTCAGTATATTTGCTGTAATCCTAACTCTATGGATCCAACTCCCATAAAATCTTCTTTGATATATTTAAATATGTTTTAATTATTTTTTTGGTAATTAAAATGAATTTTTAGAACTCTCTACATATTTGTTTTAGTGAAAGAAGATTTCTAAATAAGAAAAAAGCAATTTTCTGATTTTACATATTTTTCAGAGAGAAAAATAAATGTTTGATGATATTCTAAAATTTATTTTAACATCTGCAAATTATATTTAATAAATTGGGGGCCCATTGGGATTCATTGGCCACACCAATTAGTGGGGCATGGGGCCCACATGGCCACCCATAGGGTGGTGCGCCCCACCTCCTTATTATTCCCTTTCCTATTTTATGCCTTGTGTCATAAGGCATACAATTGATTGGAATGTTTTAGGAAATATTTGGTATCGAAATTCTGATTGATTTGAAAAGGGGAAAGTGTAAGAGATTTATTAAATTTGATTTAGTATTTTCTCTACATAATATTTGATGGAATAGAGTTGCGGAAACTGAGGGATAATGGTTCCACCTCATTCCTTTTAATCATGATAGTTGATCTAAAGAATAAATGAATGAGATCTCTTCACCCCACAGGTCCGTCAAGACTAAGTCTCATAATGATGGAAAGCCCTAACCCTAGAAACCCTAGCCTGTACGTTATATAAACTAGCTATGGGAGCCCATTCTCTACACTTCATATTTTAATATATCTCTCTCTCTCTTACCCTAAGGGGTAGCACACACCTCTCTGATCTCTCTTTATTTCTCTATTAAAATTTAGGGTTTAGAAAAGAAAAGAAACCCTAAGACATGGCATGCCAAGCCACAAAGTATAGCCCATTGGTACTAGCCTTATGCTCATATGTTGAACCTTAGTCTAGTTTATCTCATGCTATACTCTTTGTTGGTTTTTTCTAGGCTTCCCAAGTTGTGAGACAAGTTCTAGAATCTAGATCTCGTGTGCCGTTGATAGAGGAGAACCGGTGTGGGGTGTACAAAGTCCTTGGGGGTAACCTGAGGCAAGGTATGTGGTATTTTCCTGTTTCTTGCTTTCTTGATTTAATGGCATCTTTTATGTAATTTTCAGATTCATGTTATGAATGTAATTTTGTTTTGATGGTACGCAAGTGAGAGTTCTTTGGCATTCTTGTGTTTTATTTGGCTTATATATTGTATTAGGACACTTATAAGTGATCTGTGTGGTAATACATTAGAAAAGATAGAAACATATTACTCAGTATGGACTTGCCCGGTGACATAGTCCTTTTATCCTTGTTATTATTTATTCATTTATTAAAGAAATTTATCAAAATACCAATAAAAGATTAACTATTTAATAATTAATATGTTGTTGTTGTTGTTGTTATTACTACTATTACCAAAAACATTTGTATAGAAAGTCATAAAAAAATATAGATGACTAATAGATGGGTTTGGCATTTAGTAAAACAAAAGGATGAAATTTCGACTAAGAACAAAAAAAAACATAATTGGGGGATAAGCATCCCAAGGTTTTAAACTTAAGGGGGTACAATGGATTTTGGCGAACCTGAGGGTCTAATAGGATCGAAATTATAGGGAGGGGGGTGTAGGCCATTTTCCCTAAATAAATACAATGATAAGAAAAACATGGCGGCTTTCATAACCTAAATAAAAAGAAACCTGGAATTAATTATAAACTACTACATATTCTTTTCCTAGTTTTATGATGCTTCTTGTTTTACTTCAAAATTTTGGGTTTTAACAAAATTGCTTAGAGGCCAAGGACTCTGCAATCATTTTACATAATAAATGGGCGTGCTTTGATCATGATCTTGACGTAATCAAAGGTTTTAGGGTGCAGATCGGGTGGTAAGTGTTGGGGCTTGCGTCAACTATAAGTAGAAATTCCTGCTATTAATAAAGAACACAGAAAAGTTTTGCATTTATACTCTGGATTTCTACACAGCCACACCTTTCACAAAGGTTGGATTGGTTTATCGAGACAAGACTTAAAATACTCTCGCTCTCTCTCTCACCAATTCTTTTCCATTTAACCTACATTCTACTACGTAAAGGAAAATAATTTTTTTCCTTATGTAATATTCACATGCATATTAAGGTAGGATAAATAGGGGAATAGGTTACCACTCCAAATGTTTTCTAAAAATAAAGACATCAATATTTTCAGGAAGAAAATGATCCAACTCAAGAAAAAAATCTCTGTGCTAAATCAATGGAGAGCACGTGAGGCCATTTTCAAGCAGATAATGAGATATAAATTAAATACAAAAAGAAATGAATACGATGCCTCTAAAGAGATAAATTAAATACGACAACTCCAAAGAGATAAAACATTAATAAATGTGCGAATGGAAACAAATAATTAATTCAAGAAAACAATTTTCAAGAAAAAGAAAAAAACAAGAAATGAGTAGACAAGAGCCCCTACCTGTACAAGCGCAAGTGGCATTAGAGATTATAAAAAAACACAATAACAAAAAACATTCGAGTTAAGTGCACTTTAAATTACATTTTGAATATGAAATGAATGAAATGATCAACAAATACTCGGACATAGAAAGAGTTCCTAGTATTTACATATTTTTGGTATACTTAAAATAATGAAAATCCATTATGCAATACCCCCAATTTTTTTATAGACTTAAAACAAAATAAATTTTAAAGAAATTTTAAACATTTTTTGAATTTTTTTTTAAGGCCAAATCGCGTTGATCCATCAGAACCAGATCGTCGTTCTGCCGATCCGGACCAGCTTTTGCGATGGGTGATCCAGGTCTGGGATCTGGTTTTTTAAACATTGGATAAATATATTTTAATCACTGCCCCACAACTTGAGTATTGAAGGACTTTCTTGTGAAAAGCATATCAATTAATTGATTATCTGATAAATAGTTCACACATAATGTGGACTTGATCTCTGAGGAAGTACTTGCAATACATCATGATATGTTTTATATGGACATAAAATCCTAGATAGTAGTCACAATTATCAGTCTTGTGGTCATATGATGAAAGCATGAGGACACTACCTAATATCAAGATCCCATAAGAAACAATTCAACCATTATTGTCCTGAATGGTTCTTTAGATGGCATTATACTCAGCTAGAAATGTAAGTGAGCAAGCATAAATTGCTTTTTTTTAGCACATGGAAACAAATTAGATGGCAGCATACTCAGCTTGTACTTTGTTCAGCATGCTCTTGCGTACAAGTCAAGAGGCTGCTAAATATACTTAATCCGTCAGAGGACTACAAAGGACAAATGTGAAAAAAATGCCACTCACCAATGTGGGGATTTGCTGATTCATGAATGACAAATGCAAGTGAGAAACCGACCTGCAATTAGACCCAGTGATAAAGTTACATATCAGCTACTTACTGGTTTCTAAAATGCTAAGGTTGTGTCTTCATTATGAAAGCACTAACTTGTATTCTAAAGTGGCAAACAAAACCGAACAAAATATGGAATTGAGTCATCAACATCACTTATCCAAGTAATTATAGTATTAAAAATGAGAAAATTCAACCAAAAGAAAAAGCAAAGAGGTCAACAGATCAGCTATGGCAATATTACAGTTAGGGAGAACAAAGCAGCCTGTGATACAAGGGAAAATAAAGAATAATCCATATGACAATAGAAAGGCTACAGTCATAATCATCCACCATGTGTGATGGGTGGTAAGATCGAAAGTCCCAAGCATTTATAAATTTTTCAGCTAATTGTCCCTTAAAAGTAATTTTTTCTATGAAATCTATTGATGCATCAGACAAGTCACATGATGCAACTTACTTGTGTGGGTTGATGGATCAAATTGTAGATTTTGTTGGGGAAGATCGTGGGTACAAATAATTACTGACAATTAGGCCAATTACTCAGCAACTAGGCATCCGTTCACCTTGAAGACTAGTCATATGTTTTGGACACCTTGCACAGTTCATTGTGTTGATCTCATGCTTGAAACATAGGGAAGACATCTATACCTAAAGGGGCAGTCACCAAAGTGAAGTTTCTCTTTGATTTTACATAAAATCATATCATAGTCCTAAGTACCATGAGAGTGGTTACAAAAAAAAAAAGAGCGATAGTGAGAGCAGGAGTCACTAGATTTGTCACAGGGTTTCTTGCCCTTCAAAACCTTTGTAAGAAAAAGGATGGCCTAAGGAGCATGGAAACTTTAGAGAAGTGGACTTGAAATAGTGGTCAAGGCATCAAGATAGGAGAAAAACAGAGACACTTGTTCTTTGTACGTCTCTTTGGAACCACTGCTACTATGCCTTTGACATTTCTCGCCCTTTGGTGACAGTGCTTCGATTGGTGGATGGAGATGCAAAGCCTGCCATGGGCTACATACATCAGGCCATGATTAGGGCGAAAGAAAATATAAAACTTTTTGAAAAATAATGAGACAAAATACATACTCATGAACTATTAACTACTCAAAAAAAAAAAAAAACAAGATATAAACTCATATTTGAGATTGTAGAAAATAGATGGGATATTCTGCTTCACGAGCCCCTCCATGTAGCTAGGTACTTTTTTAATTCAGCTCTTCATCATAAGCACCCTCCCATTGTATCAAACTATTTAATAAATGGAGGGTTTTTCGATGTACTCGAGAGATAGGTACCTGATCCTTCTATACAAGATGAGATTCGAATTTATGAGTTGATCAAGTTCAAGTATGCACAGCAACTTTGGACGTGATATCGCAATTCAGAACAGGGATACCACAAAACCAGGTAACTGAATTTGGCAACTGGAAGTTCTGTTGAATTATTGATTGTCATTACTAATAGGATAGAATGGATTATGTTATTATGTTACTCTTTATCAGACAATCACTTTATCAGACAATCAGGCTATCAGGCAACTCAAAGCTAATATATAAAGAAAATTATTGAATGAAAATTTCCTCTATCATATAAATCACACATTTTTGTTTTTCTATGCATTCTTATATTTTTATGATTTTTCTAATTTTTTAAAATTTGTTTACTGCATCATCCTTGATGCCCCACCTTAGGACCGCATTGAGCCACATCTCGCATGAAACCCACATCCGCATCAAGTCCACATCCCACAATTGACAAAACTGCCTCGTGTTTGGTTGGGATTCTTGAAAAAATTAGTAAGGTTAAGAACCATAGTTACCTGGAAGTAGGCGATCTGTTCCAAAAGCTCAATCCTATGAACACAGAAAGACAGATCTAGACATCTCTTTTCTAGAACTTAGGATCTCAATACCTAGAACACAGGTATGAAGTTCCTTAGATTTAATATTGTATTGGCATCAAATTCCAGATCCCTCAATCAGTTCTTTTAGCAACTAAACCATATGCAGATAGCCAGCTATATTAGCATGCAACACCATGAGTGCACATGCTAGAGACCTATACAAAGTGGAAGATATCACAAAGAACCCATATAAGGAGCTTATAGTGACTAGACTATGGTACTATTCATATGTAATTGGTGAGCTCAATCCTATCCGCTTGGGGAGATCGATCCCCTAGAGCATAGGGATGGAGTTCCTTAGATTTAATATCGTATGAACATCGATCCCTGTCATAAGGAGCTTCCTGGTAGCCTCGATCCATCGATCCCACTTCCGATCGAACCCCAAACAGATGGAGATTTTCTTTTCGGTCTAGTAGAAAACCACGGTCAAACACCTTACAACTGATCGCGAGTGCAGATTACCCTTGCAATACAAGCCTTAGCTATTTACAAAAGACATGATGGTACAACATAAAGACGAATGGGACTAAGGTCATCAAGCCTTTGGAATGGGAATTTGGAAGATACTTGAGAATTTATGGCCTCAAGGAACAAGGAAGGGTTGATACCTTGAAAATTAATCTTATTACAGCTTGAGCTTGAAGCCCTAAGGCATGTATGGTTGTAGAAATGAGGGGACTGTGGTCTATTTGAGGAGTCTGGGCCACTTAAATTTGTGAGTTTAAGTGAGGAGGTTGCGTCATATTTCTCAGAATCTTGGCCAGACAATATAAACTTTAAACGATGTAAAGTTGAGGTGTGCTTCTTTTTTTCTTTAAGAAAGAAAAACTGTCACCGAAGGACAAGGACTGGTGCTGGAGAAAACAGTGAAACTCTAATAAAGCCATATAGACAAGAAATTTAAGGTTTCTAGCAAAAGCTGCATGTTTCCCAAAAATACCATAAAGACCTTGAAAAAGGATGATTTCCTGTCCTAAAAGCTTGCATCTAGTAGATCAATTTTATAATGAGGATGTTGTGCTTGAGAAAATAGCAACAATTTAAATTGATGAATATGATACAGTGAGGATCATTGTTGTATAACTTCTACAATAACTGCTACCGGTTTTGTAATTAAAAGCTCACAAATTTATTTTAAATATAGAAGAAAATTGAAGCCCTTTGCACTGGTAACGATTGTCGTAGTGGAATTCATAATGTAAGCAGAGTTAGAGTTTAAGATCTCAGGAGTAACCAAATGTTTTATAAAATTTTAATTTCATTTCATCACAGGTGCAAGAAAAATTCATATTACAAATGTTATCTCCGGACCTGTATTAATAACTAGTACAGTCATTCATAATCTTCCACATACAAATAGAAACCAACAAAACTTTCAATTGTTTGCAGATTTCGCACAAGGATTAAACCCTCTATAAGGTAAAATAAGCATTCAGCAACGAAAATATTCAAAAGCCAACAACCATCCAAGTCTCCAAGATGTGAACCAACATGTTTAAGATAGTGGAAACATCAACTGATAAACATTAATTTCTATCTTGAGTTCGATTAAGTTTCAATCACTATGAATAACACACTTACCCCAACAAGAACACCGATCTCAATTCCTAGAAACAGGGTTGTAATGCTCGTAATAATCCAAAGAAGGAAATCTTTCTTGTTCACACGCCATAGGAAAATAGCTTCTTCATAATCTACCTGAGCAATAAAGAAAAATCTAGTCAGGAAGTATATACACAATAATTAATCAAGAGGGTAGTAGTGAAACTTTAGTAGCTCGCTTCTTCCATTTCAAAGTCATATGTCCATGCATGTATGGACTCCTAAAGAGATCAAACCACTCAGAAATCTAGAATAATCAGAAACATTATGTCCTCGTGGAAATCACTTTTAAAACTGCATCATTACTGCTGAAGACTCGAAGTCAAAATTTTCTCAGGTCTCACAAAGTTTATCTTTCCAGTTAGTTATAAGGGTGGAAAGGTTATGTTTAGTTCAAGGTTTAATCTGACATCCATGAATTTTATGCAGTATAATCATGCTCTCCTCCATTATAAAGTCGGAAAACTTTATTATGTCCCACACATAAATGAGAGTTCACAACGACTCTTTCTTCATTCAAGTGCATCAAGAGTTTTTTAGTATGAAAACTTCTCCTTCTTGGCCTCTAAGCTTCTTGTCATATTCACAAGCCGTCAGAGCCATCTTATCTATCATGTTTTGCATCTCCTTTGGTATAATATTATCATTACTATTTAAAATATGCTCTATGCCCTTCCGATTGTCCAATCATGGTCAAGGAAAGTAACTAGCACATGACAATTAGCTAGTTAGTGGTTGAGCTTATCTTGGGAAAAAGGGTCTCTCCACAAGAGTTCCATAATGGCGTAACTGTGCCAAATGGTCTACTAAAAATGTCAGCAAGTATCACTACCATATAATTAACTAGTGATCCTTGTATGCCTGCAAACCTTGGAAACGTTTATGGGCATCATGTGGTGGAAAGATATAAGTCAATACTGGCCCCATGGCAGGTGCAATTCCTTCCGTTTGAAGGGAAGGTTAACCTGATGAATGAGACACTTAACCGTACACCCATCAAGGTTATGACACTTGTTGTAATGTCATGTGCAGTAGCTGAGGGATTAGAAAGTACACAAAGAGATTTTCCTAAGAAAGGAAGTATTGTGGAGAGGAAATCCTCATCTGGTTAAACGGCAAATATGGGTGAACTCAAATTCGCAGGTAGCTTCAGAATTAGAAGGTTGCATTGACCAATCACATTCTCCTTGGAAAGTGGCAATGGAGAGCAGCTCATGAGGAGGACCATTTGTGGGATAGGGGCCTAGTAAGGAAATGCGGGAAGGACAAGGATGGATGCTAGTCAAATTGTTGGAAATTTAAGCTAGGGTCTCAGGGGTATGGAGTGGGGTGGTGAGTGTCAGGTCCTCCTTCGGAAGGACATTTGTTGGGAAGAGAGTCAGGTTGTGGTAGCACATTTGGGGAAGGCACTTCCACAGTCACATTTCTGGATACTTCCAAGGTTAGCTACAGATCCCCAGGCCCTAGTCAAAACTATCAATTTGAATGGAGGTTGTCAGGAAGGTGGTGGGGTGCCTCCAATCATGATGGGGAGCTTATAGTGTTATGGATGTTGTTAGCATTGTTGGAGTCTCTCTTTCTTTCAGACACCAGCCCTACTTGTGTTTCCAATAGGCCGGGCTGGCTCTGAGGCCTTCAGGCGAGGTCTGTGTTTGGGGCAGACTAGGGCCATTTCAAGACCCAAGCTGGGCTATATAAGCCCGTTTTAATTTTCTGCAGGGCCCAGCCGACCCTTAGCCCAGTCAGAGCTCAGCACGAATTTCTATAGCCTATGCATTTGGACTACCTGCTCAATAGTCACTGTAAATTTTAATACTGAAAAATGAAATACATAATCCATGGACTACTTAATTATAATATTTATAGCCTATAGATCAGAACTAATAAAAACAAAAAGCAAAACCACTAAGAATAACTCAATTCCATCCCCATTTAATACACCTGCTCTGGCTCTGTGCCCCCCGTCTCTTCAGTCGATGCAGACTAAAGATCAGAGAGTGAGGAAAGGAGAGGGAAAACATGAGAGAGACTAACATTATATCTCTGCTCTTGCTCTACCCATCAACATTTCCTTCCTACATGATCATCTTATCAGTGACATTAGCCTTCTTGACAAACTCATCAATCTGATCCATTCCAGCCACAATCCCACTGGGAAACGCCCACCCCAGATAGGGAATCTGAATAGGAGCGAGATGGTTGGAATCTGAATAGAAACACCTACCTGTTTGAGCCTAATATTGGAAATTTAGAGAGAGCACCCCTTCTCTTCTCAGCGTTGGAAAAGGAGCGAGCGGGTTGGAATTCAATGTAGAGAGAGATCAGAATCAAACATAATAGAATAAGAGAGAAAGGCAAATGCAGAGAGAGAAAGGATTTGGGATTGAGACCTAGCCCTAATTCGTCTTTCTTAGACTCACTGAATAGATACCAGAACAAACCTAAATGAAAACCAAACCAACTATCACAAACCTCAGCCACAGGTTTCTCTATCTTCCCCCTCTTCTTCAGATTGCTTCCCCTTCCTATTCTTTTAGGGTTTGCCTCTTCTCCATGGTTTTGCACCATATCTCGTTCAGAAGTAGGACTATGCGACTAAAGGCTATGATTACATTACCTGAAGCCATGGTCAAGCTTAATTCTTCCGCATATCTCAAGTATTGGATTGAAAATATAATGCCACTGATCCAAGTCATCACTAGGCCGGCCACAGATATAAAAAACGGAAAAATAAATAAATTTGGAGAGGAGATTGTCAGGAAGAAAGGGGTAAACAACACTAACAGCAGTTTATTGGAAAGCAATTTGAGATGGTCTGAGACCCCCTCGTTGAGATGGGTTTGAAAAACAACAAAAGGAGATGGGCATGCTAGTTTAATATGACGAAGATGGACACGAGATGAGCTTTATCATGGTGACAATCACTCTCTAGAGAGAATTTCCTTGAGAACACAATTCTCCAAAACAAATTTCAGCAAGATTTCAAAACTTTCAGTCAGATTTGAACCTACAGTTTGCATTTTGGCTATAGCAAGGATTCAGGCAAAAATAATTCAGCGCCAAGAAGATCAGTACAGTCGAGAAGACATAGATGATAACACCAATCAATGAAGACAGCATATCAAGCTTGGTACCATGAACCAAAAAAGAAAAAGTGGCCAAGGCTAGTTCACTATTAAGAGATGTCTAAATTGGAAAAGGCCAAATGGGTTTGTCAATGTTCCAAATGTCGGTCGCCCTGCTGCCTAGGTGGGCTTCTCAGGCGGCTGGGAGGCCTCACCGCAACCCACTGACCCTGGGCAGACGACTAGTAACCCAGGGCCCTTTTGGGATGACGAAAATGGGCCTCGCCAAAAGGGAAAAATACATCTTTTTCCCTCCTTGAAAAGGGGGGAAATAGCTTTTAATGAGCATTTTTGCTCCTGAAACCATAAAGAACCCTCTTGTGCCCCAAAATTACAATTTTTTAATACAAAAAAGAAAGTTTTTGAGGATAAAATCCAAATTCAAAGTTTTTGATTTCACAAGAAACCGAAAGGCATTCGATCTAGAACATATTAGGGATTAAAGAGGTTGCAAAATAGAGCTTTGGCAACCGAAAGTGACTGATTCAAGCCTACTTCAATTGGTTTTCTGAAACATTAGTAAATTCAATTGTTTTTGTTGAGGGTTTCATATTTATTGAGTATTGTGTTACGTTATGATTTTTTGTCATTTTCATGTTTTTTTTTTTTGAAGTTTTGGCTTTACATTTATGATGAAACTTCTTTCTTTTCTTTTTTTTATCTTGTAGGCTTGCTATTATTGTGATTATAATATATTTTGGCTATATTTGGCTATGTTTCTAATTTATAATATATATTTTTTGCTATGTTTGGCTTTGTTTCTAATTTATAATGTGAATTTGAAAATATTACTCCATTCATGGTATGTCTATAATTTATAATGCACAATAAAAACTTTCTAATATATTTTTGGCTATGTTTGGCTCCGGTTCTAATTTATGAAGCAAATTTGAAAATACTAATCTATATTTGGCTATGTTTCTGATAGATAATGCAAATGTAATAATTCATAATATATTTTTTGCTGTTTTACTATGTTTCTAAGTTGTAATCTTATCTTATGATTAGATTGAGTTTAGTTGCCCTTTCAGGTTATCTTGTGTAACAATCCTAAAATTTCAAAAAAAAAAAAAAAAAAGGACAAAAGATGCTTTTAAATAGGTGATGGTCTGTTTGAGTATGATGGTCCTTGGGGACCATCACTATTTTCAAAAACTTTTACTTGGTTTAAAACTTTTGCTGCTGCTTTTGTTTGCAGCCTTTGCAGTTGCTGCTTGCAGCTGGCAACGTCCTTTAGCGGACGTGGTTTTCGTATGTTGAAAGCAGACGCTTAACGCGACACCTCAGCTATGAGGTAGAGCGTAATAAAATATTATAATAATACGTTATAAGAATTTAAATAGGGGAGGTGAGCACTCCCACCCTAGAAAATTTTAAGATCTCTTTCTCTCTGGTCGAAACACAGTGAACTCTCTCGAACCGAATTTTTATCGGAAGCTCCCTCTCAAACATTTGTGGGTAAGTGACATCGTCTTTCTGAAAAATAGTCTATTTTTAATAAATAGTGATATTTCCGTCCAGGATCTTTATTTTATAAGTTTTGTATGTAAGTGACCCCATTGTCTCGAAAAATAATCCATTCTTTTTAAAAATGAAATGAAATAATTATTTCTGCTTATTATCATGAATTTTAGGCGCGATAAATTTTATGCGCACGTGACCTCATTATCTTGAAAAATAATCTTTTTAATAAAAATTGTGATATTTTATCTATGTTAGAAATTTTGAATGCTGTAAATTAGAAAAATAAATTTATTTATTTTTCTTGTTTATTGTTAGAAATAAATGTGATATTTCTGCTTTTAGTAAAATTGTGATATTTCTTTCTACTGTTTTGAATATTTAGACATTGTAAAATTCATGTGT